TTCCCTCTCCCCATGTGTGTACCCATTTACAAAAATCAAATGCATTTTAACATCCCTAACTTGGGCTATAAAATGCATTGCTCCTGGAAACTACTGATGATTCAAAGAGACATTTGGGTAACAAAAATATCAAGAATTATCATACTTAATGCTAGCAAAAATTTTAAAAGGAATATTATCTCTCATGCTTTAGGGCAGGGATTCCCAAACGTTTTGACACAGGGACCAGTAAATCCATTCACGAACTTTTGGAGGACTGGTAATGTTCATTTGCATATTTGCATATTCATTAATAAAATGATGAATATTCAAATAAGTTGTTTCTGGTCCTCTCAAAACCCCCAGTGCCAGCTTTAGCAAAGCTTTTGATATGGTCGCCCACAATATTCTTGCCAGCAAGTTAAGGAATATGTATTGGATAAATGGACTGTAAGAGACAGAAAGCTGGTTAGACCAGGGTTTCCCAAGCTTTTCCTTTAGTTGGAACTGTGGTAAGAGAGGGTGTCCTGCGCAAGATCTACGCTCTTTTCTAATAGGAGGGCGTCTTGCGCAGAGGGTAGTGTGGATGCTCAGTAGGGATTTCTTGCGCAAGAATCCCTATGGCTAAATGGCCATCGGAGCTTTCTGGGGCAAGAGAGCGTCCACGCTGCCATGGATGATGTTGTGCAAAAGCACAGTTTGCACATGGCAGTGTGGATGTGTCCTTGCACAAGAACCCTTGTGCAAGACGTTCTTGCGCAAGAAACCGCCAGTGTACACATAGCCTAAGAGTTTCCTCTCATGAGCAGAATGAATTTTGTGTTGTACACCAGTACTGCGTTCATGTGGCTTGTTTGTGTGTGCCACTGTGGCACCCAAGATATTAATAAATATCTTATAAACCTCTACCTTTTCCCTCTGCTGCCATCTCTCCTCCCCTTGCTCCATCAGCTCCCCTGGTGCCTGCTGCCCCCCAACTCCTCACCCTCCTCTGCTGTCCTGACTCCTGCCCTTCTCACTGCCCTCAGCCCTCCTGCAACCTGCCCCTCTCCACACTCTCTCCCCTGTGCACACTCCTCCAGTAGCCCCACTCTGATCATGTGAGCTACCCTTCCTTGATCCCCTCTCCTAACACCTTCCTCTACACACCTGCTCTGCCTTTCTCCTATGGTGCTGGTCCCTCCTCTGCAGGTGTCTGCCCTTCTGCTTCACCCCCAAAACTCCCTGGCACCTGCACCTTCCCTTAGCCCTGCACCCTCTTGGTGCCTCCCCCTTCCCTTATTACTCCTGCCCCCTTTGCCCTCTTTTTCCCTGATATCCACCCCCTCACCACCCTCTGCCCCTGTTCCCCTCATGCACCTGTGCCCTCACACATGACCTGCTCCATCCCCACCTCTCTCATGCCCACCCCTTCTGTCAAGCCTTCTCCCAGCACCTCCTCCTCCAGCCCCCCATGCCCTTCCACTCTCCTCTCCTCCCCCAGCATCACCCTGTCCCCTGTCCCACTGACACCTCTCCTCCTACCCTTTTCCTCATTGTCTGCACTTGGCCCCCTGGCATTTGTGTCTCTCTCCTGCACCCTGTCCCTTGGTGCCTTCCCCTCCCAAACCCCTTCTCTCCTTCCACTCCTCCCCCTCCGCGCAAGCCCGCCGCCGCCGCCGCCTCCCCCCAGCCTGTTCCCTTCCTTCTGCCTTCCACATTGCGGGACCGGAGGCCGCCAGAGCCAGTGTGGCCCCGCCACGTGCCTCCAAAGACTTTTAAAATCCCGGGCCGTGATGTCACGTCACACCCGGGCGTCCTCCCCGCTCACGTGCTACGCCACACATGGGCGGCAGCAGCAGGCGGTGAGGAGGAGCCGCGCACAGCAGGGATGCTTAGGGGGTGGGGTGGAAGGACACACGGGGAGACCCGCATCCGCACCAGGCAGAGCCGGGGGAGAGACCCAGCTCCACATACCGGTGCAGCAGGGCCCCCGGCTCTGTAACTCGCCGGCACTTCCGGGTTCGGGGGCGCGGGGCCCGAATCGGCTTAAGGCTGGCCCTGCCAGCAGCCAGCAGGCATGCTGAGGCCCAGTATTTTTTTCCCCACGGCCTGGCCCATAGTTTGGGAAACGCTGCTTTAGAGCTTAACCAGTCTTGAACTATGAGACCTAATGTGTGCAACATCAGCAGCCAGATTGCACCAGGCAGTTTTACAGCTTGTTTTTCCAGGGCAGTGCAAAACCGCTAGAATGTACATCCCAATATCCTTCTCCCTCTTGTCTTTCAAGTTCCCCTACCTGTTGCAACTTCCTACATTCCTCTGCATACATTCCAAATTACCTCTTATCACCTCACTTCTACATTCCTCAAAGATCTGCCCCAGTTTTCCCCTCCCTTACACTATCTACATATATACCCTTCTTTCCACCCAGCCACACACACTACCATCAAGCAAATCTGGTGCAAGGGATAGCTTTTGAAAACATATTTAAGGTTTTTTTAAACCTTTTATAACTGAAATGTTACCAAGCAGCAGAAACTGGGGCATGACATCTTCAGAGAACCTGTCAAAGAACTACCCTCTTTCAGAATTACTCCCATCACCTTCTGTGAAAATGATGCCTTATATCCCCATGGAAGATGATGGCTCTTTATGTTGTCAATGGGACAGAAGGGAACACTCTGAGGCACAAATTAATGAGATAGTGGACAATCTTTGCCAAGGTCAAACTGTGCCCTTGGCCCCATTGAAAGCAATGGAAAACGGCAGCTCTTTTAAAAGAGGGCAATTTCTTCATGGAAATCTCTGCATGAAACTATTCTTTAGCCTTCACATATAATTTTAGATATGAAGAAAAATGGCAAAACTGACTATAACCCTTTCATTCAACAACAGTCTATGCACAAAATCTGAGTTTTAATTATAAAGGAAGTTAAAAAAAAATCTGCTGTTCAATTAAGATCACTAGTGATCATGTCTGACACCAAGTACTAAAAAAAACCCTTAAATAAATAGTCTAGCAGCACCTTAAAAACTAACAAAACACACAGATGATATCATGAGCTTTTATGGGTACAACCCACTTCTTCAGATGAATGGAGTATAAAAGTCCAGTTCCAAAATAAAAAGAGGATGGAGTGGGGGAGAAGAAAAGGGGAAAGGGGTGAGAAATAGTGAATTAGAGTGTTCATGTTACATGAACCTGATAGAGAAGGTGCTAAGACCAAGAACTAAGTCTCTCAAAGGACCCATTTTAAAATTAATTTACACTCCAAACATTTACCATATTTACTTGAAAATTCTCAGAACATTTATTCTTTCCTCAGAATAAGTGCTGTTGAATTCCCTCTAAATGAAAAGCTAAATTCAACCTTAACTGACAGCAGCACCAGTTTCTGGTCCATAATTATCTATATACACACAAATAGACAAATATACCGAGAGCAAGAGTCTTATTCTAGTTGGTAGTTCATCAGCAAATATGTTGTTGTTCGAAATGAAGGTCCTTCAACTCCTAGAATTACTACCTCTAGCCTGTAGCTTTTCTCCACCTTTTGCTCATGGCAAAACTTCAGTCAAAGTTCCACAGATAAGTTTCACAAGTGGACTTTGTTCTGGTCATAAAAAGGTGCTGACTTGTTCAGTGCAAGCAAACAAAAGCTTACTTACTGTTCAGTGGTTTCTGGGCATCTGCAGTCCCTTGTTCTTCCAACTCTGAACTCTGGTCTTCCATCTTAATAGTCTTTGTCATTTTTGACCTCGTCCTGTCATCCTCATCCTCACTATCTGCCGTGTAAAGACTTTGATCTGTAAATGGTCGTCGCTCATCTCTAGCTCAGAAGATATTGAAATGTTAAAGTTATTTGCTGATTTGCAGATTATGTATAGAGCTACATCAAATTGTTTCCATTCTTTATTATTTGCAATACTTTTAGAGGCAAGAATATCAGGCTTATACTATCTGCCCTTTTTTTCTGCTTTTACCAAACATTTTCCTGCTGCATTCCATCTGCAGCAACAGCCACAGAAAAGATACTTCTTTGTGTATCTTAATCTTCCTTAAATGTGCTCTCACAATTATGAGTCCATTCATGTTCCTCCTGGAACCTGGATGCTGAACAGGTTAAATTTGATCTTATGATATTTTTATGAGAATTACTTGTTTGGAGGGTGTTTGCCCCTCTGTAACAAATCTGTAGATTTAAAAATATTCACAATTTGAAGTTTGATCAAATAACTGAATGTAATGCTATCTAACTGAACAGGCAAGACCCCTCCTTTTCCCCTCCCCGCCATGCAAGGGCTCCTTTGCTCCTCAAGAGGAATAGAAAGCACAGAGGTGCTAGTGGGTCCTTCTCTACTCTGATTCTAGCATGAAGCCTTGTCATAGGTTTGTAGAAGGAAAGATATCGGTTACAAAATGAGAATGTGCCCATCCAAAATGTCTGGGAACAAGTGATTCATAAGCAACTTTTTATACCTAATTATTCTTCCATTTGAAAGTAGAAGGCGTAGATCATTGTCCTTTGTTCTCCATTCAGGTACCGTAGAAGATGGCTGAAAGGGCTTGTTAAATCTTCCTTTCATTTTAGAGTTTGCTGTGTCCTAAAAAATCCAAAGCAGGACTGTTAATTATTTCTTCAAATTACAAGAATTTACACATATTTCTTCTCAGCAATCCACAACAGCATTTCTCCCCAAAAGATCAAAGGAATATTTCAGACAGACAGCAGAGGAAAGCTTAAGCTAGCTATCAATGGCTGGAGTGGTTGGGATAGAACAGTTTTGGATAAAGGTAATACAAAGTTGCTGAGTTCATTCCATCACCTGTGAATTTTTTCTGCTTATTGTGACCACTCCATTGTGGTCACAACAAACATTCTTCTAGACAAGTACATTGAAAATTACTCCCTCTAAAGAAGTTATCCTCCTCCTTGAATCATAAGAACAGCAACAAGGTGATGGAAACCAAAGGCCAAACAGGGAACTGGTATTGCAACTACTACCTAGCCCACAGCAACAATCAGGTCTAGGCACCCAAGAGGAGGAAAGAAGGCTTAAACTCAACAAACTAAACAGTGAATTCAAATGATTTACATACTATGTTATATTACTGTAAGAGTTTACTGAGTGAGCTCTTTTAAGAAAACTTGTAATGTACTGAACTTAATAGTCATTATGTCCTAAATATAGAGGTTATGGTTATAAAGACAGGGGTATGTGTATACACATTCACGTGTGTGTAAAGTCTTAACTAACTGTGGTGCAACTTCAGCAATGCAGTGAAGCAACCAGGCAGAGGGGCTACCTCCCCAAAGAGATTACCCTGAATTCAAGCACCTAGCAACTGCCCAGTCCAGGTAAAAATGAAGAATCAGAGAAAATGAGAACAGTTTCAACACAAAAAGAAAATCTCCGTCTTTGGAAACTAAAAGGAGGGAATTTCCCACATTTTGAGTATCTATATAATACCTCAATTAAAAACGTCTCCAAACTCTTAAAATGAAACAAGTCTGATTTAAAGATCATCCAGAACTTGGGGGAAGACTGTTCATCAACACTGGATCCCTCCTATAACTAGGATCCATGATGGGAAATTTTAAGGAAATAAAATCTCTTTTCTAGTTAGTTTCTATCTAATATGAAAGTGTAAAGCTTGAAGGTGCATCTCTATCTTGTATTTGAATTGCATATGTTTGCTTTTCATTACTTTTCCAACTATGAATCTGTGTTTTTTCTATTAAATAAATGTTTTATTAATTTGTACCCTAAGCAACTCTCTAGTGTGCAAATGATGTGAAGCACGTCTATACCATAATTATCTGATAATTTGGGTCTCGCTTAATTTCCTTGGGTGTGACAATCAGAGGGGAATGGTTCAAGTATCTGATAACTCAACTTGGAGAAAAATTTATTTGGGGAAACTTGGAACTGGTAGGGTTGCTAATGTCACCTAACAAAGAGTACTCTGCCTTTCACCAGCCGAGGTGAACAATCAGCATAAAACCCCCAAAGTTACAGGCCAGGGAATGACAGAACTCCAAATCATATCCAATAGCTAGTATCTGCCCATAATCCCACAATTCCTAGTAACTTGCCCATAAACTAAACTTTCTTCCTAACTTCAAGGATGGCTAATCCTCTGACTCAGGAGAATTTACAGATGAAAAACTGCCCTCAACCACATACATGCAAAATATTTTGAATCTTTCTAGGCTAATTGTCAATTACATCTTGTGGCAACGACTTTCACAAGCTTATTATATTATTAGTAAAAATGAAGTTTAACTTGTTACCTTTTAATTTAATAGAATGTCTCTTGATCTTGTATTATGAGAAAAAGGCAAGTAAGAGCATTTAATTCACTTTTCTTTATGACACTCATGGTCTTGCATACTTCTAACATACTCTCTCAACCTCTCTAGTCTGAACTAAATATTCCCAATATTTTTACTGGGTTAGGTGGCCTTTCAAGCCATAATTATTTTTATTCTTTAAATCGCCTATGTTTTGCTATATCCTTTTTGAGATAGGATGACAGATATCAATACAATAGTTCAAGTAACAGGTACTTAATGTATAAAGTGTCATTATAATATTTTTTTAATCCAATATCTTATGCGGTTTTTCACATCTTAATACAAGGCTTAAACTTTTTATACATTCTAATTTCTGCCTTTTATGTCCATGAAATGTAATACTTGCCTCCTCCCAGGGAGACATCTCCAGCCTTTTGAGTACCTCCCTTGTGTGAAGCTCCAGAATATCCAGATTAGAAGGAACTTTGGTTGCATGATCTCGCAGTTTCCTCACTTTTCTTCTGGAATGGGGAGGAGAGGTTGCTTCGTGTGAGGATCGTGAAACTGGGCAAATACCAAGAATTCCCTGAGTTTTAACTGGTTTGCTGTTCTCCTCCTTTAAGTGAAAACAAGTATTTTCAGTAGGGTCTGTCAAGAGCAAGCGCACACATTTAAACTGTTTCCCATTTACATAAATGAATGAAAATTAATCATAAAAAGACAAACAAAAGGTCTTTGGAGGAGATACTCTGTAAAGTGAGACCTCTCTTCTAATTTGGGCCCATAGGTTTTATCACAATATAACCACCATCACTAAATACATCTATAAGAGCAGCAAGTTGGTAACAGCGGTAAAAATGTTACATAGGGATGAACAGAAAAATCATGCTATTTTTTCCTATGTGTCCATGATCCAACCCAATCCTCCCACAATAGTATTCTTTAAATGCTATTTCCATGACTTCACATATCATTTCTTCTAAATCCAGTGACTTATTTATTGTCACTGTGAAATTTTATAAAAATTGTCACGTCATGTCTGCTGCCCTAACCATTGTTTACACTAAGGAAGTACAGGGCATATAAACACTATACTCAGCAGACCTCTACGCTCTTCAGTTTCCAGCACTGCTCTTACCATATTATTTCAAATAAAGTAGGGATCCAAATCATTGAAGGACTGTTAAGTAGTAAAGGAGCACAATATGCCCAACGCAAAATAAAGAGAAGGAAAAATGAAGGAAAGAGAAAAAAGATGATGATACACCAGACAAAAGAGCAGAATATGTTAAAAAGAAAAAGGACATACAAGGGGGAAAGGAAGGAGATAGAAACATTAAGATCTTGGAAAATACAGGACTCTCAAATGTACAACAGAACAATAGCATAATCAAAATATATATAAAATATTTAAAACCTCTGTTTTTGCTTACTTTTGAAGCGATTTTAAGTTTTCTAATTTTAGACTAAGGAATCTCCAGTTAGAAACCTCCAAAAATTTTTCACCTGGCCTTCTACTTTCAAATCACAGGATACTTAGAGCATTTCTACGCTGCAGGTCAAAAGTCAAATTAAGATACACAATTTCAGCTGACAATTGTATAGCTAAAGTCGAAATAGATTAATTCGGATTTTGGTGAGGTCTACACAGCAGGAAGTCGAAGGAAGAACACTCTTCATTCAATTTCCCTTACTCCTTGTGAAATGAGGTTTGCAGAAGTCAGAATGAGTCGTCCTCCATCTCGACATTATTTCAAAATAATGGCTTGCTGTGTAGACATACATTGTGTTATTTCGAAAAAACGTCAGTTATTCTGAAATAACACTGCTGTGTTGACAAACCCTCAGAGAGTGACACTGCTGAAAACTGATCATAAAGTGCAACTACTGTAAACCCTGAAGGCCCAGAGTGACTAATTACCCTTTCTGCAAATATGTCAGCTTTTAAAATAATTTGAGGACGTAAGAGCAACTTGCGTGCAGATAAGTAATGTTTTCTGGTCTTACCTCTACAGAGCGAATCACCTTAGAGAGTTCTTTAATGAGATGCCCAGGCCTAACATTGTCTGGAATTTCAAAGGCATGTTCGGTTACAAGCTGTATATGAAGAGTGGAAAAAGATAAAATAAGATAAAAATCAATAAAGTACTATAACGTAGATCAAACTATGGAAAGTCTAGACCAAAGAAAACCTATTCAATTAACCCAGAGTACTTACTAAAACTAGAGTACATTGTCAGTATGAATCAATATACAGTAAAAGCTATAGAGAAAAGTAAGAGAGAAATAGCTGTGTTAGTCTGATCTAGGTAAAACAAAAAAGTCATGTAGCACTTTAAAGACCAACAAGATGGTTTATTAGGTGATGAGCTTTCGTGGGGCAGACCCACTTCTTCAGATTGTGAAAGTGCATATTCTGTACTCTACTCTTACGCAAAAGAGGCAGAAGACAAGAAAGCAAGCAGAACTCAAGGATTTATTCAAAAGAACAGCTTCCAGGGTGTGTCGTTAGACTGAATCTGTAATGATCTAATCTCCAACATCTACATATGTTGATAGTGATGACCCTGAGGCAATCTAAGATCCTGAAGTGCCTTCTGAATCAGATTAAATTATGTTCAGTATAATTTTAGTGATAAGTTACTTTTAGCACTGCCTTTAGTGATACCTAGCATTATAAGGACCTATTATATAGAAAAGTTCACCTGTATACACCTAACTGCTTCAAGAAACCAACCACTCTGATGCAGTACTCTTACAGGACGGATGAGTACCTGTATGCTATTTTATTTATTTATATTTTATTCTAATTCTTTGGAAATTACACTTAAACAACAAATAGTCTAGTAGCACCTTAAAGACTATCAAAACATGTAGATGGTATCATGAGCTTTCGTGGGCGCAACCCACTTCTTCAGATGAAGTCATACTGACCATTTATTTAACTGACTACTTGTACTGGGAATAGCTTCTCTTTCTCCTTTGAGCATGGTCAGTATGGAACCCTACTTTGTGAGGCGATTAGTAGTAATAATGTTAAAGCAAGTGGGGTCTGAACAGAATTCAGTTACGTAAAGGTCACAATCTGAATTAGGCCTCAGACATAGAAGCTAAATCTAAAGCAACGCTGAGTAAATGCACAAATTTATCTCCAGGTGGCATCCCTGTGTATTTCAGTGACAGAGCCTGTTTTAAATATAGCAGATTATGATCCAAGGCCTTACCTACTGAAAAGCCTGTAAGCCCCAGTGTATGTTCAGTTTAATCCGTTTAGACAATATCTGAACATAGATGGGCTTCCCCCATAGATTTCTCCTCACTCAGTATAAGTAGTCTAACTGACCTACACTAAGGCTTAGTTCTAGTTAGAGAATTGAGAATTTGCTTAACATCTGAACTGTATAACCTAACTTTTTCCAAGAGTCAATTAGGGAGAAAGCACAGGTATACAGAATTACTGGGATGAAATCAGAGACCACCTTAGTTGAGAAGGAATGCCTTCTTTCCTTACAAAACATTCTGCATGGAACATGCACCAATTTTATATTTCTAACACCATTCTAAGAACCTAGTTTTCTTTTGATAGTTGGAAAGAGCAGGCTTCTCCTTTAATTGATGATGTAGTACACAGCAATATTTAATACAGCTTTAATGCCATAGTTACCACTGACTGTATGGAAAAATATTAAATTGACTGTGGTGAGATTACTTTGAGCAAGCAGTGCACATTGGGGCTACTCATTCCTTCCACCCCTTTCCTCCCAGGTGATCTGAAAGTGGAGTGGCCCCAACTGCCCTTCATTTCCTAAATTTATTTATTTACCAGAGTCCTTGTCTACATTAGAAAGCATTTGCTGGTGTAGCTAAATCAGCACACAGAGTTGCTGATATAGTTTATACAAATTACCTCAACACTATGGCAGCAAAAAGGCTCCTTTGCCAGCTGCATCTACCAGGCAAAGGTGTGATTCATTTCACACTCCTAACCAACAAATCTAAGTCAGCAGAATGTAAACGCAGAACCAGACCTGGGACTCTAAAGAAGAGGAAAAGGTATTAATATGCAGAGGCAATATCTGAGAAACAACAGTTATTGGAAGTAACTTCTTTCTTCTTTGAAAAGCCTCTGTATATTCCTATTTATGGGAGTTTAGCAAGCAGTTCAATCCTTCTAGAAAAGTGAGCAGAGGAATTCTAAGTAAACAAAAGCAGCAAATCTACATAAAAAAGCATCACACTAGAGGAAATATTCTTGAGAACAGGTAAATGAACACATCCAACCTGTGGTAATCACAACACAAACAAATATATAGATACAAATAAAACCAGATTCTTGTGGAGCAGCCATGAAGATAGAGCAACTGTGTTATGCCATTCTAGTGGTACACAGAGAGAGACTTTCAAAAGCTAGGGTATTGCAGGGTGAATCAAGACCATTGCCTGAGCACAAGGATGGAAGCTGAAATCACAACCCAGGCAGCTCAGCAAACTTGCAACATGTTTCTGAACGCTTGAGGTGTAACACTTAGAAATGTTAAAAAGTAGAGGTATGCAAATCACGTAACTTCAGAAAAAAACTCATCAAGTGCATCAGCTACCTTGAAGTCAGAGCATCAACCTGACAGGATTCAACATCAGGTAGAAATTCTTACTCCAACATTGAGACAAAGAACCTGTAATCAGGAAAGTGGTTCTACCATCAGACCTAGAAAGTCTGAATCAAATCTCCAAGATCTAGTTACAGCCATGACAACATCCTTGCTATGTCTTAGCCTGCTGACAGATTTTCGGAACCAATGCAATCAGAGGGAGTGCATGGTTATTATAATAGGAATATTCTAGACACAGCACAATCTGAATTCTGGCCAGGACACTGAACTGAAACTTCAGTAGCCTTGTCAATAGATAAAGAGCAAACATCCATTCTTATCTTCCTGGACTTCTCTGAAGTATTTGACACAGCTGACCATCCAATACTGCGGTTTTGCTTGAGAGAGGTGGCAGGGTACAGAGTTATGCACAAAAAATGGCTTGAGATCCTCCTAGAGAGGCATACCTAAAGAGCTGTGATGGAAAAATCCCTTGGCGGGGACATAGTATTTGCAACCTGCTCTCTTTCAAGTCGATAGTGCTGTGGCTAGATTCTTCCATGCCGTTTTCACTGGGTCTAGAAAATGGCACTTTTGATTGGCAGAGCTATCTTAGCCAACAAGGGTGGTTGCAATAGATCAGTCAATTTGTGCTGGATGTTGGGCATCTCTTCCACAGTGATCTGGAGTTCCACTGCCCTGCTTTTAAATAGATCTTGAAAATGGGTAATATCGTCCGCAATATGTGGTGGTAAGGGCAGACCAGAATACTCTGGTGACATAGGTGAATTATTAACTGGACAAATCTGTTCTGGATGGTGTCTTCAGGATGGCCATCCACAGATAAATCCCATTCCCCTGCCTCAGTGGGCTCTGGAGTTGATGGTGGAGATCTGATACTGCTGCTGTGGAGAGTGTGATGCCTGTCATAGTGCAATCTATAGGGTCCCCAGAGATTCCAAAATGGCCATGGGCCAGAGAAAGGTGGAGGGGTGCCTATACCACAGCAGTAGGCAGTCATAGTGGGGTGGATAACCCACTGGTTTGTCTGGTATATGGGCTGGAGGGGGGGAGGAAGGAGAGGAAATGAGCAGCAAGAAGAAAAGCCTACCTCCTCCCCACTAGAAAAAGGGGAAGCCTCTGGAGAACTGCAGTGCCTGAAGTGGGTGAGAGGCGTGCCGTGAGGAGGGAGGAGGAGGGAAAGGAAGGATGTTGGTGGTGGGGATACCCACAGATCCCTTTAATAGGTATATGCTCTTGGGGTGGCCAGCTGTGGTGCCTCTAGAGTTGTGCCACTACATCAGTACAGTTTTGCTGAGCTGAAAGCAGACTGGCTGTCGGTGCCAAGTCTATCTGTGGTACCGCAGGTGGGAAACTGACAGAGGGGAGTGGATGCAGTAGTTTCAGCCTCAGTACTGTGCGTGGGACATGTAGCACCTAAGTGCGTACCCTGGGAACAGTCTGCGATGCTGGCAAAGCCCTCATTGGAGAGCATTTTTTGTGCTCTGTATGGTGAAGCTGTCAGCCACTTTTTCAGAGTTCAGGGACCATGTGTGTGACCTGACTGGGGAGCTGCCTTTTGATCATCCCTCCTGTCCCAAGTCAAAGGCCGGTCTAAGTGACCTCAGGTTTCGATCTCCTCCAGCCCTGGACATCAATTTGGAACAATGAGTATGTTTGTAGGGAATATATGATTCTTCCAGACATCAGACACACTGGCTACGTGAGTCAGAGATGGGCATAGCCTCTCTGCAGGAAGCACATCTCTTGAAGTCTGGGGAGCAAGGCATCCTACTGACTGAGGTAAATGAAAAGTCCACTGAAGTGGAGGGATCTGTTTTTTGTTTGTTTGTTTTTTAATTATAGCAAACTAAACTAAGAAGAACAACAACAACAACTAGAAGATGGCCAAGGAGAGAAATTTGACAGTGGGACTACTGCACTTCATCTCAGGCAGAAAGGGAATTGAGGGTTCAGGGTCATGCGTGTGGTAATTTAAGCACCAAGGTGTCATGAGACAGATCCTGAACAAGTAACACCTGGAGGGACACTGCTGCAGAAATCTCAAAGCAAAGGCACAGGAATGCACCAATGCCTGGAGTGGAGCACCCATAAGGACATTTCTCTTTAAGAGCAGCACCTCCCACACTAGACTCCTCACTTGTAGAGTCCCACAAAGATTAGTTCTCCCTCCACTCCTTTTCAACATTTTTAGGAAGGCACTAATTTAACTGGTCAGATAGCATGGACTCGAGTGTCAGGAATATGCAGATGGTATACATCTATATCACCCCTTTACTATACATACTACCTCAATCAAGATGGCCCACTGCATGGATTAGATGAACTCAAAGGTGAAGAACAGCTGGCCAAATGGAAACCCAAGCAAGACATAGATGATGCTGGTGAGCAGATGAAAAAAAAGAGTACATATCCACAGTGCAATGGCCTTTGACTGAAGGCACAGATCTACAATTGGTCCAAATCTATCTGCAGTTTAGGACTACTCTTGGATTTCTTGGCGACACTAGACTCTCACACAGTAGTACAGGTCATTCCTTCTATTATCTCCAGTTGGCTAGCAGTCTCCATCCCATTCCTGGCAGATGTCTACCTGGCTTTAGTTATTTACACTTCTTTTAACTCTCAAGTTGGAATATAGCAGCCAATATATATGGATATGAAGCCTTCAGAACTCTGCAAGCTCCAACAACTAGAATAGAATGCTGTGCAGCACATCTTTTTAGCAATAGACACTACTGTGAGCACATCAACCCTGTCCTCTGTTCACTGTTCTATGAGAAGCAAATATAGGGAATTGAATTTAAGGTCTTGATCCTCATCTTCAAGGTACTTCATGGTCTGGGCACCATATATCTACAAGACTGCCTAAAGCTCCAGGATGAAGACTGAGGCAGACAACTTGGCTTCTCTTGTGCAATGGAACACTACACAATGAAGCTAAACCTCCTTCATGCAAGAAGACAGAATGTTCTCAGGAACCACTCCAAAAAAGTGAAATGAACTCTCAAGATTCAGGAATGTCAACGGTTAACCAGTAAGAATCACCTGTTACCAGTAAGCATAATCAGTGGCCTGTCCTGGTGGGAGCAGCCTGCTGCACCATGGTAGCCCCTCGTCCCAGCCGGAGCAGCCTGCCTCGCAGGGGGCTATTCCAGCCTGACCAGAGTGGCTCCCGTTCACAAAGTCCCCCACCCACCCCATTTGAGCAGTTAACCTCGATACTGGCAATGCTATAATCTTAAAAATGAATTATCTTGATCTGGAGGGATCTGAAGACCTCAGTACTAGGTTCACTCAAGTAAGATTAGAGAGATGGATGTTGTTTTAGATGAACACAGAACCAATTAAGGTCAGCAGATGTCTGAAATCATGCTGAACTTGCACACATCCAAACTTAGTCAGCTGGATCTCAAGAGCCTCCCTTGTTAGAAAGGGTGTGAGGCAGCCTTCTGGCTCCAACAGGTCATCCAGATGATACCTGGGACCAATAAATACCATTTTTCTTTATTCTTCGTTCTGACGAAACCAATGCTGTTTATCTAACTAAAAAGAATATAGCCTGAGAAGGGCAGAATCAAAAAATATAAAGCAGATAAGGAACATATAAAAGACACTACATGTGATTCTACCTTACTACACCTTCAGTGGTTAATTAAAAGGGAACTGAAGAGTAAATGTGGCCAGTCCCCCTTTCATAGCCATTGACATCTTTCTGGGGGTGAAGAAGGGAAGAGGAGAACAGCCCCAACAGACATTGTTCACTAGAAAAATTCCAAAGTACCTATATATCCCACAAATGGGAATATGCAGAGGTGACCAAAAAAATCTCATCTTTGTGAAAAATTACAATTCAAGCTTCTCTCATTTTTTAGTTCACTGTGAACATTCAAAGAAAAGCATGACAGGAGATTATGATACATAGTGATTAGTTTCATTGAAACATGGATGAGAAGGCCTGAAGTCAGAGAAGTTCCCTCTGAGTTTTCAGCATAACCCTGTAGACCAGGCCAATGACCATGGGAAGAGGGAGAAGGTGAAGAATAAAGCATTGAACTCTAAATCTCCCACTAAAAAAAACCAAAATAAAAAAACCCCACACATATGCCTCCCCCTTAAAAAAAAAAAAGTACTGTTTTCTTTGAGAAGTTGGAGAGGGTGATGTCAGGACACCTTCTAGCTTATGGTTAAGACTATATTTTAGTCATGGTATTTTTAGTAAAAGTCACGGACAAGTCATAGGCAATCAAGAAAAATTCACGGCCTGTGACCTGCCCATGACTTATACTATAAACACCCCGATTAACTCTTAAGTGCTCTGGGAGACTCCTAGTACATTTTTCCAACATGCAATAATCATTTCACATGGCAAATCTGCATATGATTGGTATCTAATTCCTTTACCATATACTGGAAAGAGAAAACAGGATTAAATGAAATCCAAGAGTTAAATATAGTAATTGGTCTGTAATTATTGATGGTTTTATGTTGTATGCCACTACCTCAGACAGGTTTTTCCCATAACTTCTATCAAGTTTCCTAATAATCGCTAAGGGATGGAAAAAATATCTATAAAGAGGAAATACTCTAAGGAGTCACATTTTTATGTAGGTTTAAAATTAAAAGCAATCCACTAAAAACAACAAAAACCCACTTGCACTTACGTCTTTTTTCATCCATAACTTTAAAGCACTAAGTAAAGCCTTCACTCCTTGTACTAAGAAGTTCTGGGGCTGGAAACCATCTTCCCTCAGTTCTAAAAAGGACAGAGAGGCTTCAATTATATGCACATTGCAATGTAAAATGACAATCAGACATATATCTTTCAACCTTTAATATACCTGCCAATGTATTACACAACCAACAAAACATGTAATAAATCAAATGTATTACTTTTTGTATATATCAAACCATAAGAAAAAATATTTTAGAAATACAAAGTCTGTTTTCAAGAATGGCTTCTTTCTGCTTGAAATAATTACAAGTTTTACAATGTGTTATAGGTTACTTTGGACCGAGGATCGCAGCATGCAACATACTGCAGAACTGGTTTAAAGAAAATATCCTTAATGACATTTCGTGCTGCAACAATCTGTAGCTTATAGTTCACCACCACATAGGTGTGCTACATTTTTCTATTTTGGACCACATCAAGAGTGGTGCGGTTGAACAGTTTCTGTATAAAATGCCTCAAGCTCATGCAATCCCTCCTCCTCACCTATATAAAATTCATACAATTCAACCAGCTGCCTTATACCAACCCCAAATCTCTGCCAACCTCCCAATTAGTGCTGCACACACAAGCTTACACACAATATTAATGCAGTCTCCCCGAAGGTGAGTGACCACCCTCTTCTTCCCTTAAAGACGGTGGCTGCTGTGGTTCTGGGGACTCCCAAATTCTCCTGTGGGACAGTGCTCAATCTTCCCTTTCACTCCCTTCACTGTAGTAGAAATGCCTGTGATGAAAGGAAAGTTGGCCAGAAATACTCAGCAGGTTTATTCCCCCTTTACAGACAGAGTCGAAGTGAGGAAGGAGGTGGCTGCTAACTCCAACACCTTCATAAAGAAGGAACAGATTTGGAGCTGCTGTACTCTGATCCTTCCTCCCTTGAATAAGGTATGCACCCGGTCCTTGGTTTTTTCTTCTTCCCTATGTGAAGACTCCTTTCAGTTTCAAGACAACTCTGTTTCTTCTTCCCCAAGATGTTCTCACTTCCACCCCTTATGGAATAAAGGAGGAAAAGAGCAGCAGGAGGTCACAGCCATGCTACTGGGAGCACTGGGACTAGCAGCACTGCAAGTGCACTGTCCATATGCTGGGGGAGCTGAGGCTGTAGGGAAGAGGGGACAGAAGAGATGGGTCTGGGAGCTAGCATCACTGGACAGGAGCTCAGGGACCAGACAGAAAGGTCTGGTAAGCCAGATGTGGCCTAAAGGCCATAATTGGCCTCCTTATGCCTTTGCATCTCTGTCAGAGCTGTTCTTTTAGAATTCCCGGCTCTTAGTGATATTGATGGTAAAATGTGGTTCCATTGTATGTGCTACCAGTGCTGACTGTCCACTCACAGAAAGGCACTTCCTACCCAATTCCTGCATTGGGGACACAGGTGCTTTCCTTTTTGACAGTTTTTTGGCAGGTTGGTCAGCCACCTGGGTTGAGAAGGGACCCTGTAAGAAGCAGCGGTCAGCAAAGATTATCCAGGGCAGAGGAGATCCAGGCTTCACGCTCATAGACAGGCCTGAGAGACTTCTCCATGAAGAAGAGCTTTAGTTGCAAATCTCTACCCCAGTGTCAATGAGCAGGCGCTTCTGTCTTGCGTGTGTTTCACCTAGGCAGCAATCACACTGATTGTGTCCATCTGACAGGTAATGCAAGCTTGCAGGTGAGACAGTGTTTAAAGACTGGGGAACAGGGCATTCTTATCAGGGGAGCTTTTGACCTCAGAGCAGCTGTGCATGCACAGGTTCACCTTAGTCATGTAATGTTAAACTGCAAAAGGAAAGTAAAAAACAAGGTTTTAGATTTGTTTTTGGTTTTTAAACAAGGTAACTGGGACAAATGAAAAAGGAAACCGATTAACTGCTAATGACACAAGTAACTAACTGTTAAAATAATTAACTATTAAGTAGCAAGGCACTCCTAACTGTTCTGCCTCCTAGCCAAGGGAGTAGAGAAGAAACTGAGGGGAGCTTGGAGGTTTGTCACACAGTAGCAGATAAAAGCCTGAAGCTGTCAAGATGGGAACCACACATATACAACCCAACCAGGCATTGCTACCAAAAGTCTCCAAGTATGAGCACAGGGGCACATGAACACTTAAAGTCGAGCACCCCAGGGACAGCCCTTGAAGAAGAAAGCTTCTTCTCTCATCAGCTGTGATGGAATTGGGGGGCAGAGGGGAGGAAGAGAGGGAGAATATGAAGGAGTGATTGCCTGAGCCACATGAGTTAACAACAATGCTATTTCAGCACATAAAAATAAGGGAGGAAGATTCAAGACTCTCTTAAAAGCCATTTCAATCTTGCAGTCCACAAAGTATTGTGAGGATACTGCTTGAGCTAATGGGGACAAGATCTTTAGTAAAATTTTCAGAAATGCAGACACAATTTAGAACCTTGAATCCTTTCAATGGGCTTAGGCTCCTACATCACTTCAGTGCTTTTGAAAAATTTTACAGTTTAGCTGACTAAAACAGTTAAGCACTGCAAGAAATAGCTGAGAAAGGATGTGGAATCTCCATCTTTGGAGTTTTTTACAAGCAGGTTAGACAAACATCTGTCAGGGATGGTCTAGATGGTGCTTGGTCCTGCCATGAGAACAGGGGACTGGACTCTACCTCTCAAGGTTCTTTTCAGACCTATGATTCTATGATCTATAAGGGCCTGATAGAGCTGAAGTTCAAGAAGGATTAATCAATTCTGAGGACATGAGCAATGGACTCCCATGAAAAGGGAAAATGTCAATGGAAGGGAATAAATGCGACTTGATAAAAATGACCTCAAAAGAAAGAATGTAAAAATTTTTTTAAATGAATATGTGCTGCCTGTGTCATTGAAAGTGGAGCTCTCTGCTTCTACAAGGCAAAGAGACTGTCACCAGAAAAACAGAAATCTCTTACAAGTTACTGGAGTGCTTTGGAGAGTTATATTGGATCAATAATTTCTTCTCAAACATTTAGTTACCACATTAAGCACCTCAAGATGATAATGTGAAACTCTGATGTCTTGAAGAAGTCTCTGATCAAACTGAATCAAGAATCTCACCAAGGAAAACAAGAGTTTTACAGAGCAATATAATGCATGATGTTACGTATCTCAATTGCTTAATATCTTTGGAAGGTACCTCAAAGAGGTGATCTAGAGGAATTAGAACACATTTTACAACCATCAGGATTAATATGGTTTTTTCGCTCAATCAGGAACTAAGTCTAGTAGGCGGGGTATACTCTTCCTAGTAAGGCTGTATTGTCCCAGGATCTTAGATATGCAGTGTGTCCAAACTTGAAACTTAACACTGCTTAGAGAAAAGACAGTTACCTGTTCCCGTAACTGTGTTTGAGATGCGTTGCTCATGTCCATTCAACGTAGATGTGTATGCTCACCATATGCACTAGAGCTAGAAAATTTTCCCTTAGCATTACCCATAGGAGGAGCCAGCTCAGGCATTCCCTGGAGTAGCACACACATGCCAGGCTATATAAGACAACTCCAGTCCCCTTTCATTCCGAGTTCCTTCTTGCCAGAAAACTCTGACAGTGGGAAGGAGGGGAGAGATGTTGAATGGACATAACCAGACAATCACGTCATGAAAAAACAGACTGGCCTTGTACTGGCAGATGGAAAGCAGAGATCACTACTGGGTGCGCTCGCATAGATGTAAGCTCCAGGCCTTCCTCCTCTAAATAGAGAAGATAATGAAGGATGAGCCTTTGCTAGAAAGAGACCTCTCTGCTCTGCCCACACTGAAAACCTAATCCACTTGATCACATATATTTGCCTGGTCAATGGCTTTCAGCTCCCAAAGAGA